GAGCAGTTGAGCAATAAACGTAGGAAGCTAGTAAAAATGTATGCCGCGGTATACAGTCAGTAGGTCTCATTATAAATTAAGCAGCAATTGGCTTGTTTGCTGCTCGGTTGGTAGTCCTTTGGGAAATCATCCCACCCTTCATTATAGTAAAATACCAACGGTCCTATCACCAACGTTTCTCTCTGCCATAAATTACATTGTTTTTATTTTAAGTGTACAGTTAACCAAATTTATTTGTTTATCTTTCTTCTTTTGTTTTATAAGTGACGTCACTCATACAATAGTCTACTCGTAGTGATGAAAAGAGTGTTTTTGAAAAATTATAAATTGGTTGGAATGTTGAATCCAGTGGGCGTCAAAACCACGACAAATTGCCACCATTACACCATAGATCTCGTCTTTCGTGAATTATTAAATTCACTTTGGCTTTATTTAATTATTTAAACGTTCAAAGATTTTTATGCAACAATTTATTTATTTGTATACTTTAGTGTAAATTTGGATTAATAATATTGAAAAGAATTTGACATGTATTATTGTCTATAGTCTTAAGTTATTTACCTATTTCAGGCGTAAATGCTCTACCCTACTAATAATATTACCATGATGACTACATGGGGAACACATGATCTAAATCTCGTCTAAATTTAGATCATTTGCAAACCACCTCCATAGCACGACAGCAAAGGCAATTAGGTCGAACTCAGAAACAGAATCTTGTATCATAGAATTCACATATAACGTTAAAAGTGATGTTATTCTACTTGGCGGAACGTGTAAGGTTAATTTAATAGTTTTTTGACATTCCATAAAACGAGATGCGTTTCTATTCAAAAACGGATATGACGATAAACAAAACGCTTTAATATATATAAAATTGCAATAATTTATGTAAAATAGTCCTAGTATTTTACATACAACTTCTAAGCTAATTTATCGGTTATTAATTATTCTTAAGATATATTATTAATGATAAATAACTTATTTATTTAGGACTTTTAGGTAGCTTATGGGATTCTGATGTTTCAATTTTTTTATGCAATAAAGTAAACAAACAAGTGTAGTAAATGTTGTTTGTACTTTGCGCAAGTAGTACCCCACACACTTAAATAAAACGCTTTCCACCGTTTTAAACGGATAGTGTGTTAGTTTACTTTAATTAAATTTAACTACGACCAGACGTTTTCAAAGCTTTGCAGCAAACGCCGTAAATTAATCAATTAATAATTCCCCCCGTGACCACGGCCGGTGCAAAGCGTCCGAAACGTCAGGCAAAGTTGAATTAAGTTTAATATATTGTGTGTTTAAAACCGTTAAAAGTTTATTTCTATAAACTGTATTTATAAACTAATTTCAAATAAAGGAACGAAAGAAACTAGATTATACTACCACCACGTAGTTATCTCAGAGGTTGTTTGCATGGATTCGCATAGCGCTGAAACCATTACTTAATCACCTTTGAAAGATCATTCGAGTGAAAATATTTCCTAAAGTTAGTAAATATTATGAAACAAGTTATTTCCACACGGTTAATTGGAAACGTCCAAACCCCCGTCAGGAATAACAACACGCTTCTAAAAGCATTCATATTTTCCAAGTCCAATAGAAAAAACTTTGAATAGGCTATTTTAAAGTTTTGGCACACCTCGCCGCCGTTCCGAACAGTTTTATGAATGGATATATTCGAATTTTTCGCTAATCGAATTAAATAAGACACGGAAATGCTTTAAAACACTTTTGTGTTGCCGACCTTACGTGTTGCACTAACTTTGTTATCGATATGAATTGCAAAATTTTAAATAACACAAGATTAAAACTGTCAATCGTTCTTTTTGTGTATGATGAAAATAATTGATAGTAGAAGATTTAATAAAACACTTTAACGGTGTAAAACGTGATATATAGTAGTTAAACTTATTTGAAAATTATTTTAACCATGGCCCAGCGTTTCGGATGCTTTGTAGCAGTCGTGGTGACGGCGAGACTAAAGATGGAGGGTGTCTCTACGTCGAAATGTCGGGCCGCATATAAAATAACTTTCAACAACTTTAACTAATATATATCGCGTTTTGGATCGGTAAAGTGTTTTATTCAAATGTGTACTACTCGCGGAAACTACAGACAGTATTTTACTGGAACATTTGTTCATACCCTATACAAAAGATTGCAAATTTTTTGATATTTTGGGAAATTTTTTTTATAATAGTTTTAGGTACCTTCAACTGTTTTCACCCAATGCCCATAATGATTCAAAATTTTCCCCCGTTTTTTCCACATTTCCTACTGTATCTCCGCTCCATATACGTCGTATCGCGATGTTTTATAGCTACAACTACAAATCGAACCGGTAGTTCCTGAGATTAGCGCATTCAAACATAAAAAACTCTTCAGCTTTATATATCAGAGTATAGATATATCGATAAAGTTACACAGCACTGGCCCAATCAACAATTTGAATAATTACTAATCATGATTAGGGACCAAATTGATATTTCGATTTGTCGCAAGCATTAATTAATTCTGTTGATTGTGTTCATCAGATTTAGTGTCAATCATATAAGCCTCTTTATTATGGGATATTGGGTACTGTTACTGTGATTGGTACATCGCATTAGTTGATATCAATCTCTGCGCACCCGCGCAATTACTTACAAATTAATTTTACGTAAGAAAAACTGTCTCTCTCTAAAAGTGTATCCTTACTAATATTATAAATGCGACTAACTCTGTCTGTCTGTCTGTTACTCTTTCACGCCAAAACTACTGAACGGATTTGAATGAAATTTGGTACACAGATGGTCTAGACCTTGAGAAAGAACATAGAACATATACTTTTTATTGCGAGTGGGAGTTAGAGTAGGAGTGATGTGAGGTGAGAGTGTTGCGGCAAAGTAGCACTTATATGTTACAACATAGATTGGCTGCCCTAAATGCGCTCTTACATAAATTAATAAACTATATAAAATAACTTTTCTACGCGGACGAAGTCGCTGGCACAGCTAGTTGATTATATCAGTATGAGTAGAGAGATAGGGGTGTGTGTTATTGATATTAATACGTGGAATTCGATGGCATCGGATTATCTATACAAGTAATTACTTTGTTCAAAGCAATGACTTTTGTGTTTATATTAACATATATAAATAAAAACACAACATTTTTTTCAAGCATTTAAAGTGCTACAAATTTTATCAGCGTACTGTTAATAATACCCAAAAAATAGCATCTTGGTAAACGAGAGGACATCGTGAGTTAGTTTAGCAAAGATTTAGTGAGTTTCACAAAATACAAACTACGACGAAACAGATGACGCTAGAGTAGCAGACTTGACTTTGACTTTTGGGACGGACACCCACCTTCTACAGACACATCCGAAACGTCAGGCCATAATTAAAATAAATAAACAATGAGTTAATACATTTCGCGTTTTAAACCGTTAAAGGTGTCATAGTAGTTACAATAGATAATGTTTCTAATAATATAAATAGTTAATATAATTAGATATACATTGTAATGTAGTTAGATTTAGATGAAAGTTCGTTCGTACAAAACAGCGAGCAACCTAGTTCTTGACAAAGAAGAAATTCAAAGAAGAGTTCTCATTATTTCAATTTAAACACGAGCTGAACCCGGTGCAGATTAATTGTAAAAAAGTAATTAAACCTTCGATTGCTGGCGGTCAGTTAACTCTGGTGAAATAAAGCAAATCTTGAAAACGGCTGTTGAAATGCGACGTGTAAACTTGCATTTTATTGGAAAACTTTTGTGTGAAAGTTTGGAAATGTTTACCATTATTCACGTGATTTTTTGTTTCCCGCCTTGTCGTCACTTTTTTTTGAATGTTGATATGATGAAAAAAAATATATTTTTAAAATTATATGGTATTTAAATACTTTTAATGTTAATATCTTTTATAGTGTTGCGTGTGACAATGTGTGTGTGAAAAATACATGTGATTCAACATAATATACGATTTAGTTTTTATGTCTGTATTTTAAAATCACGTAAACTCGGAAAGCTAAATCAAATTCGATGTAACCTGTAAACTTATGTGACAATTTTGTGCTGGGCGCATAGTCCTGAGTTTGAGCCTCGGTGCCCACAAGAACGTTCGACAGAAATCTTCGAGCCTTGTGAACAAAATCGACAAGCGAAACAGACACAGGACTATACAGTAGTATACAGCCCTAGATAAAAGAAACGAAGTTTTGCAAGACTAAACACAATTGTATTTTTTTGCCCAAGATCAACCTTTTTCATATAATTCTCATAATTGGCGACAGTTGGGTTCGTTGGTATAATTATAGCATTGTATGGCTAATAATCGATGGGCCATGGGTTCGATCCCCAACGGGTCCAACATGTTTCAAATTTCCCAAATATAATTTTTCAAACTTTGACTTAAAAATCGAAAATAAATTGAAAAAATTTCCGACTCGGGCAGGAGTTGAACCGGCATCGTCAGCTTTCCGTGCTGTTGCTCTACAATTGGCTACCGAGTCCTACACCTCATTGTCGAATTTTTTCAATGACACCTTATAAATTAAAATTTTCAGAAACATATTTGACTTCATTTGGAAATCCGCATATTGAATGGGTGGTGGGAATATCGAAATTCCGCCCGGATCGCGAACCACCGTCCACAGATGAAAAAAACCGTGATGTTTAATCGCGTTTTTCAGTCTGTAGATTTCTAAACTCTGCTTAGATGCTATATGGTAAGTATTTCACCTCCCATGAAGAGAACACTATGCTCATCTGTCCTCCTCTATAAAAAAACAATAGAGCAGTACAATGCGATGTTAATTACGATTGGGTGTAACACTCAAGATGATATTCAAAAAAAGAACGAAAAATGGATACCAAAGCCAACGTACGAATCGTTCACGATCCGCGGCATAGCGTTAAATAAATACGTTTTCTTAAAGAACCGGAGTCTCAGCAGAGAACATACCGTAATATCCTGTTAGACACATTTTTATCATAAATAGAATATGTTACTAGGTACTTACATGGTGAATAATGTCCGTAGCGGCGTAGAAGCTCTCCTGAGGGTCGGGTCGTTTCATCATGTACGGTCTCGGGAATTCCGGATCTTCGCATATTTCTATACAACAAAATATGCTACATAAATTTCACATTCTTGTAAATATTTCGGCAATTAAAATTGTGGCTCGAGAGAATTTTGGGAAGTAATTAAGGAATATTTCTGTCTCTTAAAAATATTACGAAATTATTTATTATAATTAAATCTCTCTAAAATTGTCTTTGTCTATTCAATAATGTTTAAGAAGTAAGTACATCTATACTAATATTATAAAGAGGAAAGATTTGCATTTTTGTATGTAACGGATAAACTCAAAAAGTACTGAACCGATTTTAATAATTATTTTTTCATTAGAAAGCTACATTATCACTGAGTGACGTAGGCTATATTTAGTATTTGATTACTACAGGCATCTATAGAAATTCTTACTAAAACCAACGGATGACGTAAAAAAATTAGCCGTAAAATGTCTTTCTTCGCATACGCTGCGAAAAGTATTAATGATAGGACAAAAAAATGTTCGACAATATTATAGAATATATCAATATCTACAAAAAACATAGCGAGAGCATAAGTCTCAGTATTGTAGTCATGTCGCTATAACTACTTTTTTACATTTAACAAATTAATAGAAATGCCGATCTAAATCAGACCGTGTTATCCATACCATTTATAAATTTTTATCCAAAGAAATATGCAGCAAGATCGTCGCAGCGACTTGGAGGAAATAGAGCTAGGAATTCGCGAACGCGTGCACGGGACACTAACGCTGAACGCTCGCAGCTGCTTCTGAACCAGCGAGATAGACCACGGTCGTTAATAGAGAGGACGCGCAATACAATTTTTTTCTAATTTAGTGATTCATGGTCGTTTTAATTAGCATACTTTTAATTTAAATATTTATACTTATTTATGTCTAACCGTGCGAAGCCGGGACAGGGCCGCTAGTGTATATATAAAACATTTTCTTGATGTCACACAGGTGCCGTCTTACCATATTAATATTATTTGTTCATTACACTAATTGTAATAATATTATTGCCAAAAACAGAAATCAATTTCGGTCAAATTTAAAGAAGCTAATTCTGTAATTAACGCTTGTATTATAAACTATAAGACGGTGAGGGAAGCACTAAGTAAACGAATATAAAATAAAAACAAATTACCCTAGTTTCTTAAGAAGAGATTTTTTGTAATCATTTGAGAATTAAATTTTTAAGCCGTATTTTCATACGAAATATAAAACGCTAAAGTTATTGATTACTTAATTATATATATCTTTATATTTGTAAATGAAAATATGAACTTGGCAGTTATTCTTTTTGTTAGTTAAAAAAACTGTTTTTGTGTACCAACTGTTTTTTTTACTCTTATATCTTGAAATACTTAGCCTTAGCTTTAAAAATTCTCGGAAGTTTTCATGAATTTTAATAGATTATGTCTATTTAAATAAAACACTTTAACGGTTTAAAACGCGATTTGTTAGTTAAACTTATTTAAAAATGATTTTTAACTTCGGCCGACGTTTCGGATGCTTTGCAGCAGCCGTGGTCACGGAGAGACTGTCTCCCCGCGTTTTAAACCGTTAAAGTGTTTTATTTAAATGTGTACTACTCGCGTAAACTATAGACAGTATTTAGATTGTGTCTATTAAAATTCAGTGATTAGTCTGACGCCACAGTGACGGCAGTGGTCATGTAATTACCAAACTATCCGAAATGTCATATATAATAGATATTTTGCTTTGAAACCTTGAAGACGGCAGAAATAAAACTTACAAAAGAACAAGTTACGTTAATCGTCGCAAACCAGCGTACCTTATATAGATGAATAAAGAAAGATAAGAAAGTGAATTCAGGAGCGAGGGTGTAAAAAAACAAAGCGTTACGCGTAAAATCGTTATTGGAACATTAAATACACAATGGGTCTGTTAAATCATCGTTCAAATGACGTGCACGCTCTTTTCACGCTTCTCCCAAAGAACCGCCCCTATTATACACCGATGCATCCTTACAATGCGCCAGAGATTGAACAATGCGGCTTTCCTAACGGACGTCCGGCTTTTGTAACGAGCAATTCGTCTTTCAGTTGTTCGCGTAACCGGTGTTGCCAGATGGATATTCACTAAAGTTAAATAAACTGAAGGAGTGTGAAAAGTTTGCTAGATTTACGCGATAGAAGAGTCCTTACTCTTATAAAGAGTAGATATAATGCCCACAGATAGAAAACTCATGCTTTGATGGCATTACATAAATTAAAAATTTGTTCCGTTCCGTTTTTTTTTTGTTTTTGCCGCCCTTTTTAAAACTGATTGCCTTGTTTTTTTTTCCCCCTTTTTTTTTTTTTTAACAAACAGGAGTCCGTTACGTATTTATAAAATTTTAATGAATCTAAATGCACAATAAGGCAAACAGGATTTCGAAACAAAATTAGTACGGAGCTGTTATCATATTATGTTTATACTTCGCTACCGAAAAGTAAAAAAAATATGTTTAATCTCGTTTCAGTGTCGGTCTGTCGATCTCAGAATAATCAAACTAAGGTGACCGCGCATCTTATTTAGATGAAGTGAAGGTAATCTGTGCTCCTCTATCACAAAAAATTTAATACTCAGCTTATTATCACCGTAATGCGTTATAAAAAAAATACATTACAGTAGTCACCGATATTTGTAATAATCTTATGATAAGACAGCGTGTGAGGTTGTGTGAAGTGTTTGACACTTGTGTGAGTACCTACGTGTATTTTCAATGCTACATCCCTCTCGAAACCTGTGTTTGGACCCCTTAGGGGTACCGTGGATACATATTATTCCACTTAGAACCCTCGCTGAATAACGTTAAGTAGAGTGATCTTTAAACTTTGGCAAAGATAGATTTTAATCTGTTTGTCGATATACATTTACATGTATTTGTGTATAATTTATAGGTATGTGTATATATGATTTTTAATGTGTATTTTGAGATACTAATAGAATTGATGTTTTTAAAGTGATTCTTTAGTTACTTATATTGCTAATGTCTACAATAAGAAATCGAGAAAATAACTTATATATTTGACTAAATTGTCTAAAGCTATAGAATAATGACCGCTCTATGGCACACTTCTTATGTGCATTAGCTCGCTTACGTTAACCTTATAAACTGTTTAACTAGTTACTGTCTATAGTTTACGCGAGTAGTACACATTTAAATAAAACACTTTAACGGTTTAAAACGCGATATATGAATTAAACTTATTTGAAAATGATTTTTAACTTCGGCCCGACGTTTCGGATGCTTTGCAGCAGTCGTGGTCACGGGGAGACACTGCTGCACACGGAATATATCGCGTTTTAAACTGTTAAAGTGTTTTATTTAAATATTTAACTAGTTTTCGCCAGGTGGGTGTCGGTTCTACTATTTAAGTATTGTCTGAATTTAACCCGAGTAGTAGACATTAAAATAAGAATTTAACGTATTCCATAGTCCCCCCATGACCACGGCTGCTGCGAAACGTCGGGCCCTAGTTAAAATGAGTTAAGTTAATATTTCGAGTTTTGAACCGTTAAAGAGTGTGTAAATATATTTTTTTAGTTTATCTCTTAACATTATACAAAAAATGTATACTGCAACGCTAATGAAAATTTTTCGGACAAGCCAGTAATCAGAAACAGACACGGAAGTGTGTCTGACTCATGCGAAACCCATTCTAAGTAGCTGTATGTACACTACGTTTTAATAACATTTTGTCTTTAAAAACGCATCGAATATTAATTCCGCTAGTCGAATGATAAATACGTGTTTCTCCTGTACGCGAGAAAATGTACACGATTGTAGGTAACGAAGGGCGAGGTGGCTTGAAAATCTAACAAGTGTAGTCGAGAGTCGCGCTGAGTACCACGAGCCAGTTAGATCTCACTGAGAACATCGTATCAATTATTGTAAAGACGACGGCTTTGCTGAGCCGTGAGGGCTAATTGGGGCCCTGAAAAGCTGTTTCTAACGAGACACGACAAAGAGTACGAAACGTGTGGAAATGTCAAGAGGGAATTTATAATAACGCGTTGTTTAAGAACTAATTACGTAAAGAAAACACTTTTACGGTTTAAAACGCGTGTAATATATTAGGTAACTTATTGTTACTATGTATGTATATTCCGAAACGTTAGGTACGTTTCGGAAATTAAACAGCAGTCATGGTAACGGGAAAGTGACGTCAAATAATAAATATCATGTTTTAAACCGTTAAAAACGGTTTATTAATACTACTACCGTAAACTTCAGGCTTTGTTATAGGTTTTGAGCTATACATATAATGTCCTACAAGTGGACTAAAGTCTTTACTGTCGTAGAATATAATGCTTCGCGTTTTAAACCGTTAAAATTGTTTTATTTAAATGTATACTACTCGCATACGCTATAGAGAATACCTATATTATTTGATTTAACATTTCGAATGTCCCACTTGTGGGCTTATGTCTCATCTGTCGTTGGGGAGATTGTTTAGACTTTAAAGTTTAAACCCATCACGCTATAGACTACTTAGTGGGGCTGACAGCTTAGTCGACAATGCCTTTATAAACATTATTTAACCGAGAACAAAATAACTATTTTAATTATTACTCTTATTAAATATTAACTATTTGAATTGAAGAGTCTAAATTAATCCTAAAAAAGAAACTTGGCGATCAAAGGGGTGACGGCGAGTTTCTTGCCAGTTCTTTTTCGTTCTTCCTACGCTCTTGATTTAAGAACTGACAATAATTAAGTTTCGAGTCCACAAAAGTGTACCTTACGTTACGTTACTAAATTTGTACTTTGACAACAGACACAAACAGACAAGAATAATCTATGGTTTATAAAGTATTAGACAACGTTTATTCTACTGTCAAACCAAGTTATAGAGATTTATATTTTTAACTTGTAGTTGATCAGACTTCTGTGCTTTATTTATCATAATTATACCGATTCGCCTCTGAAATGCGATAGCACGTTTTAAATCACTTTTATATTACTTCCGTATTAAATTACTTATTTTATCGCGTCTGTTTTTAATACGTACATAATTCGGACTTATTCGAATTTTCAACAATGCGGGATTTTTACTCATTGTATTTAATTACACCAAAATCCCCGTGTATCTTGTTTACAATTAGGGAGTGAGCCCCGTGTTTTCGTTCGGCGTGCTTCTAATATTTGCTTTTGTTCGTATCCCCGTATGGAAGTGCCCGCAAGGTATTCCATTTATCTGGGTTGAACATACGCAATTGAAATGCCTAATTAAAAAAGCTGGTTACAAAGATAATTGCCCTTTATAGGTACACAAAGGGTGAAGCGTCCCAAAAAAATAAGTAAGCGTGCGTCACAGGACGCCCAAAAACAATTCTTGAAGCAATCAAAGTTTGAAAACTTTTAATATTTTTCAAATGCTGTTTAACTTTGTAATTTCATTTTCAATAAATTTCCTAAGCTGCAAATCATAAGACATTGAACCTGACCACGCAAGTATTAAGGTTGAAATTACATTGCGCGAGAGATGCATGTCTCAATAGGTTGAAAAATTTGACAATTACGTATAGGACTGGGTAGTTCAATTGGTCAGAGAAACAGCACGGAACGTTGTAGATGCCGGTTTAAGTCCTGCCCGCGTTGTACATTTTAAAAATCTACAATAGATTACCAATTGAAGTTACAATTAAATAAAGCCAAAGTGTCCTCGTAGCGCGTTACGTAACGAAGCGGTTTCAAACTCCAAGAAGTCATTTTAAATGATATTTTTGTCAAATTATGATTTTATCTTAGATATACTATCTTTTATGTGTTCTAAAAAACTTTTGTATTTAAGCATAAGGCGGATACATTTTTATCCGCTACCCTGATTGATTTTTCTTTATAGGCTAGTAGGTTATCAGCCCCTATACCTTGCCAATTCAAAAAGATTTATTTAATTCCCTGTATTCCAGAACCTGTCGCATTTACCGCAATGCACTCTAATAATATTATAAAGTTTCTTTTGTTGGTTTGTTTGTTCGAATGCGCTAATATCTGGAACTGCTGGTTTTTTTATCGGATTAGTTGGACCATTTATCGAGAAAGGCTTTAAAACATCAGGCTACTAACAATAGTAGCAAAGATACAGAGGGAAATGTGGGGAAAATTATTCATCTGAGGGCTCATTGCGTGCGCTGCGAAACGGTTTAAGAAACCAATGAATGAAATAATGATTCTTTTTTTAATTCTGTGATAGTACATGTCTGTCTTTTATGATTAACTCACAAAATGATGGACGCGGATGAAGGCGTGGGTAACAGGTATTAAAGAACTCAAAAACAAACCATTTAAGAAGATGACGAGGTTTGCAAAAGTACATTTTGATGCCCAAATTAACTTTTTCATGCGGACGAAGCCGCGGGCACATCTAGTATGTTATACAATAAGCCGCAGTATTACTTACCATTGTATTCGTTTTGGTCATGGCTCTCGCGTTTTTGTCGTCCCAAAGTTTCCCGCCAAATGTTATATGGCTCCCGGTAGTCTTCGTCGACAATAGCCGGGCTTCTATAACAATGTAATAGTTTTACCTTAGCATAAGTCAGAGTTAGTCGTGTATGTGGAATTTTCCAGCAACCTTAGTTAATATTACTCTAGGTATCTCCTTACCTACCCTAACACATGAGAAGGAGGTTTGATTATCTAGGTGCACTTTCGGCATAAAATTTGTTATCGTTGTCAAATAAAACATTTTTAACGGATTTAAAGGCTATATTAGTTACTTAAAATACTTTTATATGATTAAAACGCGAAATATACTAGTAAACATATGTACAAATTCTATTAACAATGTTTGTTTCAATAGCAAATGAAATTAAGAAAAACAAAAATGTCAAACTTGACCCCCCTCCCCCAGCCTGGTGTAAAGTATTCGTCGTCGTCATTTTTAAAAAAAGTTAACTTGTATATATTTCGTAATTTAAACCGTTACAAGGGTTTTATTTAAAAGTGTAATACTCGTAGTAGGAATTAGTTTAGCCTATAAATAAACTTACCGAAGCATATGTATAGGTGGACAGTTAGCAAGTGCCAACGCAAGTCTAGGCGCTCGTCGATTGTTTCTCGCGTTCCTCAACGAAGGGCAGAACGGCTTCTTGAGCATGTTAGGAATCCTTCGTCTCGCCCGCTTGGTGACAAGAATAGCTGTGGCCGCTATGAACGCACCTCCCCCCACAATGGCGCCACAGGCGAGGCCCACAGACACTTTTAGGGAAGAATTGCGTTTCTTCCTAGATGTGGGGGGCATGTCTGTCCTGTAGTACTCGTCCAGGAACTCTGTCGATTGATTTACTACCGTTGGAACTGTAACAAGCAAAAAAAAAACAATGAGAATAGATTCTATAGATATTTTAAGTGAGTCTAAGCAATCTATGTGTTTATGTTTTTGGCTTTTTAAGTCCAAATAAAAACAATACCAGAAAATACCTTTTTTTGGGCCATTGTTACTACTAACTGTGAAAACTTCTCCCGTTTACTAAGTAGTAGTATTTATTTACAAGAAGACTTTGACCACAATGTACTTTTAGATTGGACCCTCAGACATTATCATGCTTTCCCGGGATTCAAACCTTCGCTCTCAATTTGGACAATGCATTAAAAGTATATTTGAGAAAAAATATTTACTTGAATTTACTACTTGCGTAAGCTACATATAAATCTTAACAAACACTATTCTTTTGAACAATATAAAATACTAGCTAGATCAGCGACTTCGTACGCGTAGAAAATTATTTTGGATATCAATTTTTGTTTTTGTTCAATTCTATAAATTTGACCTGTTACCCACGACGTCGTCTGCGTCCCGTCGTTCTTGGAAGTTAATCTTAGAAGATATGTCTATATAGTGTCGCGGACTTTTTTTTAGATCATTTAAAGAGGAATATTTTTTTAATGGTCTTGAACCGTTTCCGCAGCGTTCGCAAGAGAAACCCACAAGGATGAGTAATTTTCCCCCTTTTTTCGAAATTTCCCGCTTTTTCTTATTATTTCTTCGCTCCTATTAGTCACAGCGCTATGTTTTATAGCTTATAACCTTTCTTAATAAATGTTCTAACAAACACAAAACAACGAACTTTTCAATTTGAACAAACTCTTCAGCTTTATATATTAGTATAGATTTGTTTCCTTTACAATGTTTTCTTAGTACGAATTCTCGCTGAGTATTTTTTTATATACATAAGTACCTTTAGAATATTGAGCTAAGGAGCTCCTAAGACAAAGCGTCGTAATGAATAGGTGTCGAGCGCAGAGCTAATTGTTGTTCTACAAAGGGAAGGAGCCAAGTTCCATCCAGCTGGGTTTTGTGCCGAGCAGACGGTTTGTGGAATGAGCGCGTCGCCTAGGATTGTTTGCTGTGCTTTCTGATCCAAATAAATCTTTCAATTGTTCATTTCAATTATACCCTTTTTAGGTTAGGGCATGATCTTTTTTTTAATATAGAAGCAGATAAGCGTGAATCAGACAATACCCCAGCTATAAAACATCAAAACCGGACGCGCTGTGTATAGGAAATGCACAGATGGTAACAGAAATGCGACGAAGTCCAACTTGTGTCAGAAAAATGTTAGACGCGGTAGGTATCGAATCCACGACCCGTTGATTATTAGCCCTAGTTTGTCTGACCTGCTCTATCTATAAAAAATCTGATGTTAGCGATATACCAAGGCTGTGTTTGCATAAGAAACAGCCATTAGTCGATGTTATTGCAATAATTTGTCTTCAGCGAGTAAATAAAGTGAGTTTGTTAGCCGTTATTAATCGTCGTTTTAATACGGGAATGCTAAATCTAGTGGAGTCGTTAGTTAGTGTGTCAAACTTGTAAAACTAGGGTTAAGCCTAAGAGGTGAGAGACGGTGGCTATGAGCCAAAGTCAGTGCGCTTTTGTGCCAAGAGTCAGCTAATACTGTGCTGATTTCTAATTGTGTTGTACTAAACTTCAGTACGTTTTGGCGCTGCAGTGGGCGTTAAAACTGAAATATTAGACGCTGTACCGCGATAGCACGGAACTTAATTATATTAAACAGGCCACATTTTGGACGACGAGGTCAAATGGAAATCATGAGGATTAACAATGTAGGATATTAAAACTATATATTTAGTTTTGGTCACGTTTAGGCTGAGTTTATTGAGCTCTCTAATAGACCAGCTCCGTGAATAAGAGAGAAGTATCAACCGCGAAGGTAATCATTTTGGCTCGGGGTATCTTAAGACAGCATAGATCGTTCAAATATACTAAAGATAACGTTAGGCCGGTACCTCTTTACTCTGGTACCTCTTTAAAGATATCTTTTTAACTTACAAGAACGACGGGACGCGGATTAGGTTGTGGGCACAGCTAATATAAGATAATATCATTTAAATAAAACCCTTATAATAGTTTGAAATGCCGACAATACTTAAGATAAAATAGTGGTTTGTAAAGCGATGTGTGAGTTTGCAAATTTGATTCTTTGCCAACACGAAGGTGCCGTGCGGTTCGCTCGAGCTACAAATTTTACGAGAATATTGAAACTCACAAGACCCGCAAGGTAATAAGGTAAACACATGTATAATTAATAATGTTTTAGCTAAATATTAATTTGGCCCCTGCTGCCTCTAAAACAATTATGGCGATGTTATAAATTAGGTATTAATAAGGATTTTGCGTTAGGACTATTGTATTAAATTATTATATCTTATTACAGGTTTTAAGTAACCAGATTATGTTGCTTGATGCCCAATCAAAAGGTTTTAACATGTTTACAAGAACTTAGTTTCTATTATATTTTTTATATTATAAGAGGCCAGCCAAGCTTCAATTAATGGAAGGAAATCCCAGTCATATAACATCTAAACAAAATGTGTTGTCGACCTATTTTGGCTTCGGATATTCGGAAATCCATAGACTGAAACCGAAATTAATTCTTTAAATTAAACCTCACGGATTTATCCTTTGAGAACGGTGAACGTGACTCGGTCGAAATTTCGACATTCCTACCATACATTTCATGACGAAGTCCTAACATGTTTCTAAAATTGTAAATTCATTAGAAACATGGACCTGGAGATCGTATCCACGACCCGTTGATTATTACCCATACATTGCTACCACCAACGAGCCGTATGATGAACATAATTCTCCAGTAATGTTGTTGTAGAACAAAAGATACACGACATAAGTTAATAAGATTTTCACTAGAGACCATTACCACAGTTTATAAGGTTTCCTAATTGGACCTGATTAAATGACAGTAATACTCAGTGCTGACTCGGTTAAACGTTAAAACCCGACCCGACTGACAATTAATTGTATATTTCTTGTGTGTAAAGGCACTGGTAGTAATGTACTCTTGTATACAATCCACTGTAATATAAAATGTGGATCTGCTTCTTTGATATCCCCGATGGATTATATAAACCGGGATTTAAACCCGTTTCAAATCTTGTCTTTATGTTATACATTTAACCATACCGTAAGGTGGTAGGTAAAAAACAAAAAAAAAACTAATTTAAAATAATCTATAATAACATTATAAATGCGAAAGTAACTCTGTCTGTCCCGATTTAACTCCGAAACTACTAAACTGATTTAAATGAAATTTGGCACACAGACATTTTAGAGCTTAAAAAAGGACATACGCTACTTTTTAATGCCAAAAAAGGGTTGATGGAGATTGAAAAAGGGGATGAAAGTTTGTAAGGAAATTCGTGGTTCTCGAAGCTAAAACAATGAAACTTTCTTCTTTGGCTTTTTGGGAATAGGAGTGGGCGTGGGGGAGGGGGAGGGAGTGGTTGCGAGTGGTGGTGCGAGTGGGAGTGAGAGGGAAATTGGGAGTGGGAGTGAAGAAATGAGAGTGGGAGTTAGAGTAGGAGTGATGTGAGGTGAGAGTGTTGCGGCAAAGTTGCACCTACAACATAGATTGGCTGCCATAAATGCGCCCTCACATAAATTAATAAACAGCCTAAATAATTAAAATTTCTACCCCAAATCACTATTCCACGCGGATGAAGTCGCGGGCACAGCTAATATAAAAAATAAAAGCCGTTTTCCCTCGTGATCCAAGGGACGAACACATGTCTCTGTCCGTGTCTAATCGTTATTTTTAGATGTTGTTTATACTTACCTCTCGTGGGGCGTGAAGCGAACACATTTCTGTGTCCGTTTCACTAAATCCGTTTTATTTACACGTAAGTAAATGATCAGATTTCTATGCTCTGCCCGACCATGTTTAACCATTTAGCTACTAAGGCGGCCTAACATTATCTATAGCTCTATATTGTATCAATGAAATTATAGAACGTGGATTTCCTTATTACAAACAAATTGAATTTAGTGATTTTTTTTATTAAATATTTAAATGTACGTACAGTAATTATTTCTTCTTAAGAGCTCCAAGCTAAGATCTTACATAATGGTACGGTAAGAAGTGATAAAAGATCGCATGTTGTCATAGAAGACTGACACAAGTTGCGACTTATAACGACGTGAAGTTATTTCGCCTTTTCGAGAATTGCCCCCAAGGCATTCCTATTGAAATAGGAGAGTCATCTTGGCGCATAACTTTTAACGTTCGAGAATTTCGACTGTACGGAACTAGTAATTCAGTTTCACGTGTCATTGGCTAGCCCGTGTCTTAAACAGCTGTTTCGTATTACGTTGAATTTATTTAGAATTGAATTTCACTGCCTCTGCGGTTGTTTTATCATTTCGTCGTTTCTCAAACGTTTACGTTCCTCCGGCGAACGGCTCCGAGCAATTGCTTGTTACATAATATTGGTACTTTTTAGGGTTCCGCATTCGTGGACTCATTGAGTGATTTTAGTTCACCTTGGTCTTAACGTATCACTCGTTTATATAAAATTAATTCTAAATACATTGGTCTAAATACATTACACACTAGGAAATGTTGCGAAAAATGTAAACTAACGTGTAGTGCTTGTTTTATCCGCAATATCATCTGCTAGGGATATACAAATAACTCTCCAAATAAAATAAAAAATACATTTTGTTTTGTCATATGAAAACTATTTAAGCCACGGGCCGAAGTTCAAAATAACTTTCAAATAAGTTTAACTAATATATATCTCGCTTTAAACCGTTAAACTGTTTTATTTGCAACCTCTTTATTACTAACACTACAGGTTGACAACTTATTTTTTTTGTTTAGCGATTTGATCTTATTAATCGCGGTGGATTTTTATGTTACTAACTTTCCTGACATTTAATTAGATCGAGACAAAGCCTAGAATTTAATCTATTAACTAATTGTCTATGTTTTCATAATTCACTCTATGTTTTAAATATTCATGTTAACTGTGATGTCTTTATCTTTATAGGAAGTAGATTTAAATAATAATATGCTATATAACAAACTACCTACACAATAAAAAAAAGTGAAATCCCGTTTCCCCCTCGTGGCGCATGGGGCGAACATATTTCTGTGTCCGTTTCACTGATCCGCTCTTTTTAACAGGCAACTTTATCAGACGTCTGTGCCCTACCTCTCACGCATATCGCGATGCTCGGCAATACGTTTAGCCATTTGGCTACAGAGGCGGTCTACACTACCAACGCAATAAAGCATTGATTAATCAGACTCAACGGAACCATTTACACGAAAGTTCGGCGCGTTCGAGCGATTTTTATGCGGATAATATAAATTGATAGTTCGAAACTTCTTTTGTGAAATCGCATTGAAACTTTTGACACGGTGATAGCTCGTTTGCGCATGAATGATGGGAACAGTTGACTATAGAAAAAGATAAATATGATAGAGAGGAGAAGCATGTTTTGCTAAACAGGTCTAGCGCAAATCCATTGACTGGAATCTACATTTGGAATGATATATCTTTCCCTTCTTTTGATAGTGTATGAGTCCAGCAGAATATCTGTTATTCTCTAACTTCGTATCTCTTCTACTCGTAAATATACTTTCGATATCCAGGTGTTGAATGTTAAAAAAAATATAAAATTATACTATCCAAGCATGCTGTAACAAGTCAATATAAGATACGGGGAAATCCACATACTGAAACCGGAGTGCGATTCAATTACGGATTTTTCCTCCGTGAACGGTGATTCGTGACGGACTAATTCGATATTCCACACATTTAATATCCAGATTTTATTAAATTATAAATTGAAAATCTATGGAACAAACAAATAAAAATTCAACGATGTCGTGTAGGACACGGTATCTCAATTGGTTGGAGCAACAGCGCGGAACGTTGTGGATGCGGTTTCAAGTGATGCCTGCGTCGTAATTTTTATCAATTTATAATCGATTTTCAAAAAAGTGCTATAATGTTTGAAAACATTAATATTTTTCACATGTCATTGCACATGAAGGCACTATATAATTTAAAAATCGAAAATTTTTTCAATTTATATTCGATTATTAAATTATACAGTGCTATAATGTGAAAAATATTACACACAACACTTTGAGTCAAAGATGTCATAACAAAGGATAATTACTCAAGATTGTAATAGTAGGATAATTCGCGATCAGAAATTTGTTTTAATTACGAGTTCCCCATTTGGCGGATGGCGATTTATTACTTAAGGAGCGATTTCTGAAAGAGCCATGGATTAATTAGAGCGAGATAAAATTTGTGAAATTGCTCGAGCTCGCGAGTGCTCGGGAGAGATAAGGGAAACTCGATGAGGTAATGGATTTGGGCTCATTGGTCTAACAGTAGCAGTGTATGGCTAATAATCAACGGGTCGTGGATTCGATGCCCATTGGGTCCAACTTCTAATTTCTCAATCTGAAAAAGCCGTGAAGTTTAATCGCGTTTCGGTTGCAGTCTATGGAATTCCGAATTTCTAAAGCCGATATAGGTCTTCGCACCTTGTTGAGATGTTATATGGCTGGGGTATTTCACCTCTCATGAAGTGATCCCCATTCTTGTCTGTATACAAAAAAAAATTCTAGCGCGGCTGTCTTACTTCAGCTCTACGTTTCCTTTGGTACGAATGATCTTACAATTCGAACTGTGACTTACTTTAACTAGCTTAAGAAATTTAAATAAAACCCTTTAACGGTTTATAATGCAATATATTAGTTAAACTTATTTGAAAATGATTTTTAACTTCGGCCCGACGTTTCGGATGTTTTTGGGAGGCTCCCTGTGACCACGGCTGCTGCAAAGTCGGTATTTCGAGCGCGAGTCAAAGGACGCGAGAGCTTGAGGCGAGGGAGTCAACCACACTCTCCCGCTCGCTTACTTATTTGTTGACTGCTGCCGTCCATCTTGCACTGGACGTAACGACTAACTAAATAAAATGGAGAGTGTGGATGACTAGCACTCGTGCAGTCTCTGCTCGCCAAGACTCGTAGCGAGAGCCTCTAGGAGGCGCCTCGCGAGAGTCTGGAGCCGGCGTAAGGTTTAGCGCTCTAACGCGTTACCTAACAATATCACTATGAAAAGTTCACCTTACTTTAAATCATTACTCTTAAAGAATCTTCTGCGGTATTTGGTTTTTTAAAAATCGTAGACATAACAGATGGATGTGTTATACATTTAACTCTTGTACAAGAATTGTTATAAGAATGCGATTGTGTCTACCTAATTTATCAACGTACGTGAAACTTCTTTTCCAGCTGTAAAGTGCGGGGCAGCCATATTTTAATATCTGTTTCTTAAATTACGAGAATATTAACAGGCTCAAAATTTGCTGCGCTCCAAATTTGGAAGCCTTGCGCATTCAAAGAAATAGCGTGTTTTTGCTTACCTGACTTAAAAGTGACTTCACTAATCAGGATCCACTCGTTTTGATATTTAAGTTTCAACTTGATATGCTTGGCTGTACGGTTCTCTAGGTCAATGTGGATGGTGCGCGCATGCTCAGACACCTTGTCTTGTTTTGGCTCGTAGGACATATAGTCTTCTTGCCAACGCTCACCTTCCAATGAGAAGTAGACTTCTGCTTCTTTGAAGAGCTGTCGATATTCCCAATAAGATAAGATGATTCTTGATGATACAATTTAAGAACTCTCCTTTTACGATTTATATAGTCTATGTTTTTGTTATTTTTATCATAAATAGAAGTATTTGAATTGAAGTGAGAAACTATTTACACCTTCCCAATGTTACATTACCAAATACAATCAGCATACGCATAGCTTAGAGATAATGTTAGAAATAAAAAAATGTTTACCTGAACGTCTTTTGTAAACATGTTATTTGTGTGTATGTCGACGTGTTGGAAAAGCCTTGTGTCCGTAAAATTAAATGTGAGTTCTACTTCGTCGTCCACAGACATGGACTTATTCCAACCCACCCAGCGGGTACCTGAAAATAAAAATTTTATGTACTATCCATCCAAGTTACTTGGTACCTGGCCACGCTACAGGGACTTTACAAATTAGACGCTAGAATCATACAGCGAAGTCATAATTCAACACGCACGGTATATCAATTCTTATAAACAAATAAAAACATACCGCTAGTGTCCAACGGTTCTGGTAGTTCAAAATCATTTGGTCCGGTATAAGAATCGGCGATCTGTCCCAGACCGTCAACTAGTGTTGTACCGTGTACGATGCCATCGTACGATAAGTCTTCAAATCGTGCGCCGCCAGTCATCGCTTGCATGTCGCAGCCCTTTGGTGCAGCGTACGCAATAAGGGCCTCTGAAGAGATAGAAAAGAATGTATGAACCACCGATCGGTGGTAGCCAATCGCTGAGCAATACAGTCGCATAGAGAATCGCAACGCAAAAGGTCCCGGGACACGCCAGCTACCTTTGCTTGTACCTACGTTTCCATCGACATCCGTAGAGCTCGACCCTCATACACGCCGTACGAGGGTGCGCCGCGTACGGAAAGAACCGCACTTTTGACGCGACGAAAGGCGCTTCTAGAGTTGTTTTTCTTGGCGTGTAAGTGTTCACGTTTCCGGGAATAAGCTGTGGAGAGTCACTACGTTAGTAATTATAGCAATTGTTTCAAATTTATAATAAACTAGCTGTGCCAGCTACTTCGCTCGCGTGGAATAGCTATTTTGGCCATCGAAATTTGTTTTTGCAACCCTCCTACCACAACGTCGGTCGCGTCCCGTCGTTCTTGCAAGTTAATCTTAACCGTTTTCGCTGCTTACGCAAACGAAATCTATCAAAAAATATTCAAGTCTAAACAGAAGTTCCTGAGATTAGCGCGTTCAAACAAACAAACAGATTTTTAATTTTCGTATAGATATTGTTTTTGTAATGTAAAAGAAATAATGGCAGTTCGATTACTATAAAGCTGGTTAAGTGTTCTTTTGGTAGAAGTCAGGTTTTAAAAGAAAACTATGTCTACTACAATGTCCTATATGTCTCTTGTATTTGCTGTAAACGTGTCGGGTCATTTTTTAAACTAAAGAGACCACCTACATTAATCAATGGTTAAACGTATTGTATATAACGACAAAAGTCCTGTCTTGAAGTCCCGGGAACCTTTTGTAGGGAAGAGTTAACACGACTTGACTGAAATTTTGTCGAATTTGTGACTAATCGCAAGATTGTATTATTTAAATTAAAAATCTATTTACATTTAAAAACAAAATAATAAACTCTTTATTGCACAAACATAAACATAAGAACATACTTAGATACTTAGAATTATATATATAAAATAAAACATGTTAGTGCAAAGGCGGCCTTATCGCCTATGGCGATTTCTTCCAGCCAACGTTTGCATGTAGAAATAAAAAATAAAAAATATTTTTTCCGTTACGATAAGTTTACTAAGACAATCGAATGTCAACATGAAAAATAAAATTATACAATAAAAAGATAATATAAACTGGAAATTAAATACGATAAGGACGAGAATTAAATCAGCATCCACAGCGTCCGTGCTGCTGCTCTATTCAAAAAAGACACGGCTACCCAATTGGTTAGTTCCCATCCAGCCCGTGTAGTATTTTTTTTCAATCTTAATAGATTTTTCATTAATGTAGGTCTTTCATCCAACACGCTCTCCATACAGTTCCAGTATAAAAGCAAAATATGTCTGGTGTCCAATCAGAGTTAGTTATTCCGCGAGCTAATTCTTGCCCACGCGCCGAATGTAACATAGTTAACACTCTCGGACATTGATTTACATGGTGAGGATTGAACGGACGTGAATAATCCAATTTTTACTGAAGCCCACGACTAGAGTGCATCAAATATGATTTTTTATTATTTACATAAAGTTAGATAAATCTCATTTTCCGAACATTTTATGCAGCCATATCTCACGATAAATTTTGAAACCACGGGAAATAATATTGTTTTTTTTTTATAAACTTAATAAATTTATATTTTTCTATGATAGGAACCCAGCCGTAGAACATCTAAACAAAATGTACAGTCATTGGTTGACTGTACATTTTGTTTATATGTGTTTTTAGCTTTGCTTTTCAAAAGCCAAAGCTGACATAAGGTGATGGTGCATGTTAAGATGTTTATAGCTGTGGTATTTCAGCTTCCTTCAAGCTTGCACTTGAAACTCAAGCTTATCTATATTCCTCTACCTCCTTTTTTTTACAAGCTACAAATGTGAAAACTAACTCATCGTTAGTTTAATTCGGACGAATTCGGATTCAAATCACGAAGACAGAAATTTTACTTCGATATTTAAATTTTCCAAACAAAAAAATTACTCATGAAATTGCACTGTCGTAATTTTATTTACGATACGTCTTTTGTTTAACTAGCTTAAGTAATGTTTGTGTTATATATAGAGGTGAAACGGTTAATATTTATCAGTGTACGTTGTATAGGATTAATTTGCGAGATGAAGGCTCGGGTTTCCAGTCGCATCGGGACTAATTTCGTAAGAGGATCTTTGCAAACTGAGTCCTAAACTCGTGTAACCGCACATGTGAATAGTTCAATAACTATTAGACGTACAGCTAAAGTAAGGGTTTTAATAGTCCAAGTTTCAGTCCCGTATAAATACTTATTTAGATTAGAGGACACTAGAGAACACAGGCTATCTCTTAGTGCTTAGCTCATCTATTAGAAATTATTGAATACTAGCTGATATCGAAAATGTTGTTTGACTCTAACAAATAATTGGTAGTATGACATTACTTTCGAATAGTTATTATTAGAAGGGTTCTTGTGAGTTATTCTTGCAATATAGACATATATTCTCGCAAATGTATTACGTTTTTGCATCATTTTAGAGGAATAAATCTTATTTATACATATTTTTTTGTCTCGAACCGAAAACGGAAGCCCTCAAAGATGAACATTAGCCGTTTTTTCCACATTTTTCACGGTTTATTCGCTCCTATCGTAGCGTAATATTATAGAGCTTAAATACTGCCTGGATAAATGGTCCATCAAAAACAAAAATAATTTTAAATTTCGAACAAGTTGTTCTTGAGATTAGCGCGTTCAAACAATATCTCAAGTATAGACTTTTAAGGAGTGCTCAAATGAAAAAAATATATAATAATTTATAAATCAAACACAATATACAAATTATAAAACACTTTAACGGTTTAAAACCATTATTGCGTTCAGCAGTTCTCCCCGACCACGACTCTGCAAAGCATCCGAAACGTCGGGCCGAAGTTAAAAATAATTTCCAAATAAGTTTAACTAATACATCGCGTTTTAAACCGTAAAAGTGTTTTATTTAAATGTACTATCGGAAACAATCTATACAGCAATTTTAAATATATTTTTTAATTACATGAGGCATAAATGTTGTCGTGTTGACTTACGATACCTTATTTACCTTTCAACTGTATGACATTCGATTTTTAAAAACTTTCAGAAATTGTTCTTAACTGTACGTCACTATTCGTCGATTCAGACGACGAATAGTGACGACTATCTAGTTTCATAAGAATTTTTCATTTTTGACGATGTAAGTAAAATATGTTTACGATGCCATAATTCTATTTTAGGTATTAAAATTTGCACAGCAGCTATACTAAGTAACGTTCCGTGTAGCGTGGGGTAATTCAAATAAATGTATGTTACACATCTTACGAGTACCCTCTATATGCAGGAGTTGGAAGTGCAAATAGCAATAAAATGTAATTAACTTTGTCGCGTTAATGCGGTGTGGGATTTCGTAACAGATGATTATCGTATATTTTCCCCAATGATAATAATTATGCTTTCGAGTTTTTTATACGCTTATTGAATTGACACGTTATTTTATTTACTCTATTATTCGTAGTAATAAGCATGTTCAACTGTTTAGAATTAAAAATAAATTAAATTAAAATACTCTAAAATATATTCGTGATAAATTGTGTAAGGCTTTCACGGCCATCGTTCAGCATATCATTGTCATTGAGAAGAGGTTCTCGACGTTTCGCCATCACGTGCGGGCGGCATCATCAGGAGGTGTTAACTCCTCGATTGCTCGAAGAATTAATTCTTCGAAAGACGATGATATATTCGTGACTTATTTAATACAGTATTTAGTAAGTAAAATTTATAATGACTTACTATGTTATGATTTAAATATACAATAATATAATTTCGTTGTATTACTGTGTTTTCTCACGGGGCTTCACGCACGGGGCACACTTATGTGTTTATTTTAGGAAATAATTTTGCTTATAAGACCTAGACTTGTAAATTAGCCGAGCATAAACTATTATTTTTTTTTCTGGGACGCGATCCTAGGACCACGTACTTAACAAAATACTAGTTTAATTAATAATTACGTTTAACCATTGATACATGGAGGCGGTCTATATTGTGACGTCATTTTAAGGTGATGTTATACAAGACTTGCTTTTTAATATACAGTGCAACCTTCATGAAAGAAATGTGTATATTACTTTAAAAAATGTTTTATGAACACAAGTGTGTCGAAACATGTCGCGACATGAATCACTTACTTCAATATTCAAGTTAAAAATCGTTTTTAAATTTACATTCAAATTACGATGCGCGAGAGTCACGGGTATCAATATTTAGAAAAAATCCCCGGTTTAGGATACCATAGTTCTATTAGCTTAAACACTGACCGCTGTAGAGTCTAGGGTTAAGTCCTGACCTTGTCTTAAAATTGTTTCAATCTTAAATCGATTTTAATAGAATTACTTATACTTTTTCTTGATAGTTCTATATCGTTATAAATATGTCCGCAATGTAAAGCTATATTTATATTGACCTTATAAACAATTCAAGGGGATTACGAAATTGTTAAATAAGAGAAGTCATGATGCAGAGTTACGTTATATAATGGTTGCGCTGTTTATATTCACTTAGTGCAGACTGAAGTGACCGATAAAAGCAATTACAAATAAGAAGGTAAAATCTTAAAGCCTTTTGTCGGTTAAAACAAAAAAGCACTCACTCTGCTCCCATTGAAGTCCTTATACTTGACCCAACGGCTAAGCGCCTCTCGCCAATATTCCACAGAGTAACTTTCAACGAATTCAACGCCCACGGAGTTTGCAAATCTTCCCTGCGATTCCGTCGCCGTGATTAAGTATTCAGCGTGGAGATCTATTTCCAGGAATTGCCGGCTGTGGGGCAGTATGAGGCCGTTGGGGCACCACGCTCCGCCACGTATCTCAGTTCTTATCCTGTTGACAAAGTAAACACGTTTTATATATTAACTAGCTGTGTCAGCGACTTTGTCTTCTTAGAATAGTTATTTTGAACTTCAACATTGCTCAAAACCCACGACGTCACTCGCGTCCCGTCTTTCTTTATTATTTTTTTATTATACAACAATTAAAACGGAACTAACCAGTTACATTAATTGGATACACACATAGACACATAGTGTCGCTGACATTTCTTTAGTTAAAGAGAAATCATTATTTTATACATATTTTTTGGGTATCTTGAACCGTTTTCGCAGCGTACGCAACGAATACCCACTTAGGTGAATAATTTTCCCCATGTTACGCATTTCCCGGATTTTCTTTGCTTCTATTTTCAGAGCGCAATGTTTTATAGCGTCCCTCTATAACCAACAAAATAATAATTTTTCAATTCCGACCAGTAGTTCGCGCGTTCAAACATACAAACAAACAAACTCTTCAGCTTTATGTTGAGTATAGATTACGTAAAATTATAAACTAAAGATATATTAAGACTTCCATCGACATCCACAGCGTTTGCTTTAACGAATTACCGTGTCTCACTCATCATCGAATTTCTTTACCCATATTAATAAGAATCGTTTTAGAAAAAGTGGTGTAGTGCAGTGTATACTAAATACAACTTCGTATTTTGGTGTTTTTTTTATGATAGAGGAAGACACGCATAAGGTTTACTTGTTGTTATTGAATATATTTTATTTTATTATTATTTTACTTATATATACTTTTATAAGTTTTAGAATTTAATGCCTAGCTTTATAACAAAGATTTTTATCAACGAAATCCTTTGTCTCTCTTTTGAATGTTCGGAACTGTGATAGCATAAAATATGGAGACAAATTATTTTTCAGTAAAAAGTAGGTTGCTAAAAGAATCGTGGTTGTAATAACTCTAGTGAAAATTCATTAGAAGCGAAAACAATGTTGCAAAAAACGGGACAACGTCAATGCAGTTTCAAGTCTTGTCCTAGTTATGTTCGGCTTCTTTGGAGACTTGCTTCTGATTACAAGCGAAAATCTACGGCTTATTAAAAAGGAAGTTTTAATATTTATTATAATGTTTCGGGGTTTTGTTATCGACTATTATGTTCAGAATCGCTGACGGGTCTAATAAGCTACAAAACATAATTAAACAGCTTTTTCAATTTACAAATGAATTCAATATACAAATGAAACTAAGTGATTCATTTTTTTATTAAAAACCTACTTAGATTTAAAAAATACGGCAGAGGCGGGATTTGAAACGGAATCCACATTGTTAAGACGCAAAAAGCAAATTTAAATATAAAACACTTTTAACGGTTTAAAATATGATTTATATTCGTCAACAAAATTTATCTACCGATGTTTCGCATTCTTTACACCGATTCCAATGAGACTTTTAACTGTTTAAAACGCAAATTATTTGTTCACTTATATTTATATTAATTTATATAAACTACGCCCCGACGTTACGGATGCCTTGCAGTAGCCGTGGTCACGGGGGGACTGAACATAAATAGTGTCCAACGTCAAAATCACCGCTCTGTTTTTACTACAGATTATTGAAGCATCAATTAACACAGCTTACGCTTTAATTGTTAAAAGCAAAATACAGAAACAGTTGAATTGAGACTCGTTCGGTTTATTTTTAAACTCGATTACACCAATGCAGTCAAATACGGTTTAATTTCCCGTTACCGAATGCGCCCGACAAGGGTCTATTGTCTAGCTGGGCTTATGCAGGCTCGAGTCGAATGTAGATCTGCTTGTTAATTGTTTAAACTAAGTATCAGCGTTTTGGTTGCGAGCCTCGCAATTATTGTAACAATAATACGGCGTTGTGCATTGTTTGAGACACAATGACCGTGTTTACCAATAAATGGTATTGAAATTCGCTTTGGCGTTGCGATATTTGCACTTGTAGGCAAGGGTGAAGGGGACTTATGGGTACGTAGGGGTTTAATTATTTCTGTCATCAATTTTAGATAGAGAACTATGGACATACAATTATTGGGGGAAAGCTGTTTACGTTTGTATTTGTATATTTGAAATAAGGAAAGAAGAGAAGTCTTGGTGTATAAGGTGTTCCTTACAAAAATTTCTCTACTTTATTCGTAAAAAAAAATTTGTATAAAAAATAAACAAACAAATCATCTTTTTGGTATAGTGATGTACATGGTGATTAATATAATGTAAAATTATAAATAACTAGCTGTTACCCACGACGTCGGTCGCGTCCCTTCCCGTCGTTCTTGAAAGTTGATCTTATAAGATAGACATATAGCGTCGCGAACTTTTTTTTAGATCATTTAAAGAGGAATCATTCTTTGATACATATTTTGGGGCATCTTGAACCGTTTTTGCAGCGTATGCCTTGGAAACCCATAATAAAAATAATAAGACGAAAATCGTTCGTTGTCTGTTGGTATTTTAGGTGTTTGTTTGTTTACTTTTTCTACAATTTATACAATTTTCAGTTATACAGTTTACACGATTGTAATTTATTTATTTAAAAAAAGGGTATTACAGAGTATGAATATATAGTATTAACAATATAAAGAGTATAGCTATCTGCATATCCTATTTAAGGTAGGCACTACATGTATTAAACAAACATACATGCAAAGCATCCGAAACGTCGGGCCGAAGTTAAAAATCATTTTCAAATAAGTTTAACTAATATATCGCGTTTTAAACCGTTAAAGTGTTTTATTTAAATGTGTACTACTCGCGTAAACTATAGACAGAGTGAGACAATCTTAAAGTTAAGGTACAATTATTTAACTAAAATAGGTTTAAACATTTCTTCGTTTTCTTTGTATTCTTATTAAGTTTTTTCTAAAGTAAGTTTGAGCAGTCGACGAAGGCGGTTATACGATAGATGGAAAGGGTCTAAGTGAGACGAATATTTGTTCATCATGCATTGTAATGAATATCCACGGCCACTGCAATAGATATATTTCGCGTTTTAGACCGTTATAAGCATTTGAGTTGCCTGTATATTACACGAGTGGAACACAATGAATTAATTTTTATGGCAGATTGTGTTTAATTTTTCATTATTAACTTATATTGCTGGCGTTTTATACCGTTAAAGGTGTTTACGTCATATCTATAGTGACTTTAATATAATAAAATATAACTAACATCAAAAAAATATCGTTTGTTTTTCGAAGAGCTGAAATGAAAACATATTTTTGAACTCCCTTTGAGAGAACACATCGTCTACGAGTGTGCCAAGGATAAGCCAGTTAGGCCTAGTTCAATCCAGTTTGGTTGAATAGGACGTCGATGTCGGCTGATTGGCCAGTTAAACCAATTGCATGTAGTCACTATTTGAGCCGCCCCAAAGGACATTGATCAAACTTTGTATCGCTGCACAAACTGGATTAGACTAACGTCGTTATTAAAATCTATATTCAAATAATTATGATGTATGTATATACGTTTTTACTACGCATTAGTCAAGGCTTGACATAATTTAGTAACGACAAAGTAACTAAATTTAAGCGTTCTCTGTAGTTTATGCGAGTAGTAAACATTTAAAAACAGTTTGAACGGTTTAAAACGCTAAATATAAACCGTTGAAAGTGTTTTTAAATAAAAAATTATTCTGTTTACGTAACGAGCCCATTGCAAATAAGTTAAATAATATATTTCGAGTTTTAAGCCGTTAAAGATGTTTTATGTTAATAATGATTTGTTTTGTGTAACGAGTTTTAGTACTTTATAATTAGTAGCTGTGCACGCGACTACGTCCGTATCCCGTCGCTGACATTTTTTAGACCATTTAAAGAAGAATCATATTTGTTTGTTTGTTTGAACGCGCTCATCTCAGGAAGTACGAGTTCGAATTGAAAAATTATGTGTTGGTTAGAGCATTTATCGAGGAAGGTATAACACAAGGCTATAACGCAATCCGATGTGACAAATAGAAAGAAACATTAAAAACGAAAACTATTTTTTTATAGGTTTAAGTATACGCGTCTAATGAGTAAAAATATAAGAACAATACCTGGAGCTAAGAGGTGAAACACTCTGGTCATAGCTGGAACTAGCTGACAGAGACTCGTTCGATATCTTGCCATTCTCCATTCCCAGTGGCACCTCACAGCTTCCGACTTCAGCTAGACAAAAGAAATTGCCCATTAAAGTAAGAATATTTCCGTTACACTTTAATAATATGGAGAAGATATATCTGTTAACTTACTGGACGAAAAAGAAATATTAAATATTGTCCGTAGTACACATTAAAATAATTTTAAAGGTTTAAAACGCGATATGTAACTTTTCAACTTATTTTTCTTTAAAACATTAAACGTTGACGGTTTAAAACACGAAGTAAAAAACAGCTACGCTAGCGCCATAGCCATAGTGGCACCCTCCACTTTTAATCTTCCCGTGACCACGGCTGCTGCAAAGCCTCCGTAACGTAGGGTTGTAGTTAAAATAATGTTTCAACAAATTTATTTAACATATATCGCGTTTTAAACCGTTAAAGTGTTTTATTCAAATGGGTACTCCTCGCGTAAATTACAGAGAGTATTAAACTTATTATTAATTTAATCATGATGATTTTCTTTAATAAAAGATTTTAAACGCGAAATATATTAGTTAACTTTTTTTAATCCAAGTCATTAAGCATTTTTTTTGACCAAGAATGATACGCGAGGCAATTATAATCAAGAAACACTTAAATGAAAAAGGGTGGACGGCCACAAGATATCCAAAAAATTCGGACCACAACCGCAGATTAAAACTAGATCCCAAAAAACAGTATTTCGATAAACAAGAAGACAGCCTGAGTTCGCTCTATAAGGACCCAGCTAGTTTCTCTAATAATCAACTACAAAAAACAGATGGCGCTAGCGTAGCAGATTTGACTCCGACATTAGAGACACGGAGGGTGATCTTCAGTCCACCCAAAACACAAGCTGCTACAAAGCATCTGCAACGTCGGGTCGTAGTCAAATAAATTAAAAATTAGTTAGTAATATATATTTTGCCTTTTAAACAGTTAAAAGTGCTCTAATTTAAGAATACACATCTAATTAAGTTTCAAATACACAGTTAATTCCTCTAATTAAACATAAACTGTAATATTTGTATTAATTGCGAACGATATTTCCACATTTCCTCATATTAGGCCGATAACCAAACGTCATAGTATTTGATGGTAATAGGTTGAATTAATTGATAGGCTTGTGACTTACATACGTAGTTATGTCACCTTAATAGAACTATAGCAGGTACTAAGCTATTTATTAATATACGCTATTAAGGAATGTATAACTAGTAAATACCGTCTGTAGTTTACGTGAGTGGTACACGTTTGTACGCGATATATATTAGTTGAACTTATTTGAAAAAATATTTTAACTACGGCCCGACGTTTTGGATGCATGCTTGAATTGAACCAGCCGCGGTCACGGGGGATTTAAGATAGAGTGTGTCCCTGATGTCAAAGTAAAAACTGGTACGCTGGAGTCATCTGTTCCGTCGAAGTTGGTGTTTGGTGACACTAATAGGTCTTATATATATAATATAAATAGGGCATCAAGTTTAATGTATTAATCGGCCATATTAAGTCTTTACTCGTGTTTAAAAAAATCACTATAGATACATCTATCGACCCAAATATACACAGAGTAAATATTTAAACATCTTAGAGTTCAGCACGTTTCCTAATGATACCAAAACGATGTTACATTCTGGCACCCAACCAAGCGTGTGTGACCGTCGACAGACGTTAAATCATACAAAACCAAGGAAATTACTACAAAACACGAGTACAGAGTGAGAATAGACGATGAGCTGAGCGATGTATATAATATGAATTTCGATGCACAAACCTTTAGAAATTGAAAAACATAATAACGATACGAATTGATCAATCATAAGTTCGCCTGCTTATGTTAGGCTTAGTAGTGTAATATTGAAAATTCTCGAATCACAGTGTTAGCTGCCAGACTCCTTCGAAACGGCTCGATCGATTTTATAAGCATTCAGTAGGTGTCAGAATCGGTTACTATTTTTTCACATGTGACATGTGTTATCCCTGACATTTTATTTTTATAATGTTGCATTAAATAATACGTACAACCCAAAATTTATACACTTCTATTCTTGTCCTCTTGTATCTCTCTTGGATCTTTGTATCTCTTTAGAAATTTATCAATGTTACATCCCGCTCGATAAATGATCAATTATCTCTTGGTAAGTGATCCCAAGGTGATTAAATAATGGGTACTGTCTATAGTATACGCGAGTAGTACACATTTAAAGAAAACACTTTGACGGTTTAAAACGCGACATATTAGTTAAACTTATTTGAAAATGATTTTTAACTTCGGCCCGACGTTTCGGATGCTTTGCAGCAGCCGTGGTCACGGGGAGAATAAGCCGTTAAAGTGTTTTATTTAAATAAATGGGTTTTAAATTTGGTACGTATTTGGTTATGACGGGCTCTTGGTCTAATGGTAGCAATATATGCTGAATGGTCAACGGGTGGGTTATGCTTCTAATTTTTCAATTTATAATTTTTCTGAAACACGTTTGACTTCGTCTGGAAATCTGGATATAAATTCCGGACCACGAACCACCGTCCACAGATGAAGCCGTGAAACTCAATCGTGTTTCGGTTTCCGTCTGTGGAATTCCGAATATCCAAAGCCAAAATAGGTCGACGTCACATCTTGCTTTAGATGCTATAGGCTGGGGTGTATCACCGACCATCGAGTGAACCAAATGCCATCTGTCCTACTCTATTATTAAAAAAAAAGGTAGTTGAAGGAATTCGAACACAGGACCTCAATTGATACAAAAGAACAAAAGAAAAACGTTCAAATGGCTTAGAATGCTCCAACATGAAAATGCTAACCACCTGACGATGTTTATCCCGCTGTTCATTAATCATTCTAATGAATTGTTTTTCCCCATAACCGTAGTTTCAGTAATATATATTATGCCCCATGTGGGGATTACGCGCATCGCTCACAATATGTATGACTAAGACTGCTGACAAAAACGATGGCAACGTTGATGAATGCGTGGGGATTATTTTTTTCTGTATGAATTTTCAGCGGCTGAATAAAGGGGAAATCCGTTCGGGCATGTCTGTTCTTTTAAAACGGTTTAGACAAATTTAACGGTTTAAAACGCGAATTCTATTAAACTACTTTGCAGCAGCCGGGGTCACGGGGAGACTCAAAGCGGCTGCTGCAAAGCATCCAAAACGTCGGGCCGAAGTTAAAAGTCATTATCAAATAAGTTTAACTAATGTATCGCGTTTTAAATCATTAAAGTGTTTTATTTAAATGTGCACTACTCGCGTAAACTATAGACAGTATTTATAAGAAAATTTAAAAATTATTTTCTGACACCCCGTGTCTCCCCGCGACCACGGCTGCTGCAAAGCATCCGAAACGACGGGCCGTAGTTAAAATAATTTTCGAATGAGTTTAACTAAAAAGATCCCCCCCAAGGTAAAGCCCCATATTAAGATATTTTATAATGGCAGAGGAGGATAGACTAGCATGGGGTTCTCTCGATGGTGGGTGAAATACGCCAGCCATATAACATATACACAAAATAGGTCGATAGACTATTTTGGCTCAGTATATTTTGAAGTCCACAGACTGACACCGAAACGCGATAAAATTTCAAGGTTTTTAATTTATGGACGCTGGTTCGGGACCCAGACGGAATTTCGGTATTCCTACCACCCGTTTATCATGCAGATTTCCAGACGAAGTACAATATACTGTCTATAGTTTACGCGAGTAAACAATTAAATAAAACACCTTAACGGTTTAAAACGCGATATATTACTTAAACTAATTTGAAAATGATTTTTTTTCGAAACGTCGGGCCGAAGTTAAAAATCATTTTCAAATAAGTTTAACTAATATATCGCGTTTTAAACCGTTACAGTGTTTTATTTAGAAGTACAACGTGTTTTAGAAAAATTATAAAATTTGAAACATGGACCCAGTAGGTACATAATCGAAGGTTTAAAAAACAAAAGACGTCAGCGGACTCAAAAAAGTCCCCTGCAAAGTTACAATTAACTTGTAATCACAATATAGAGATAACATAGCATAACTTCCGTCAAAGTTGGAATGCGGGTAAACATAACAATATTTCATCTTGAGAAATCCCGAACAAAGGGCGGCGAAGAAAAATAAACACACGGCATGTTTTAAGTGAACCGCAAAAGCGAATTTGAATTTTTCCTTTTGCCTTCCCGACGCTGACGTTGTATTGTGTTTTCATTTCATTAAATGAGGGAAAATAAATAAAAATTTTCGGACGTTTGCCCTCCAGGTTTCGCTGCGCGGCGTGTGTAAATATAAACGCAAAATCTAAAAACGTAAAAAAACAGCGGATATCCGAACGGTATTCCACCGTATTCGCCCATAGCCATTGATTCCAGAGTTTTAGCTCGATTTTGTGTATTACAAAGGATTGGGAGTTTTATTGCTGACCGAGATTGAATTCACGAAAAAAATGCTTAGATCGTTCCAAGGCTTTTAAAATTCGAACAATTATTCATAATATTTTATTTCTTAACACGACATACATCTTTAATATTAATTAACGCGTAAATGTAGAATTATATTATGACGGGTAGGAAACAGTAGCTCAGTTGGTTAAAGCGATACTGTGGGCACCGGTGCAAATCACAGTGTCGTAAATGTTATCCAATTTGAAATATTTCTTTATAATCTCTCGTTATCAACATCATTTTAATTTAAATAAAACACTTTAACGGTTTAAAACGCGATATATTAGTTAAACTTATTTGAAAATGATTTTTAACTTCGTCCCGACGTTTCGGATGCTTTGCAGCAGCCGTGGTCTCCCCGTGACCACGGCTGCTGCAAACCGTTAAAGTGTTTTATTTAAATGTGTACTACTCGCGTAAACTATAGACAGTATTTAACATCAAAGTATAATAAGCTTTGTGAAAACTATGATGCAATGTCCTGTCTACGTAGGGCTGTTTGACGCAATTGGCAAACGACAAACTTCTTGATCGGGGCTAACAGAGTAAGTTATGAGTTATTATGACTCGGGTCTATGTCGCAAAATGTTTGCTTATTGTTTAACTAGCGGTCACAGTTATTATACACACAGGGTACAGATTA